ATATGTACACAGTCCTAGAAACTGTCCTGCGGCTTTCTTCACTCTAAAAAAAGCCCGTACATCTACTTTCCCGCACAACAGTTAGAGAGCCAATCACCGCAACTTAAAGAGGCAGCTCAGCGAATGACGATGCCGAAACATATGTTAAACCGAAAAACGCAGTCTTAGTTATGAGATTAAGCGATGCAAGCATGACGTTTTCTATTACTTAATGTAGCAATGTGTAGCCGTGTCGACCCCGAGATGAGCGAAGATGACAAGATCCACCATCTATTCAAAGTGCTTTCAGAAGGATTATTTCCCATCGTAGCCCCCAAGTCTCCACCGATCGGGGCTCAACTTCTCCCTGAGTGCCGGAAGTATGAAGAGCTCGACAAGGCGAGAATACTCAAGAGGCCGTTCGAACGCCTCAATGATGTGTTTCTTGCTCCCCACACTGACACGAACGTCCTGAACCTGATACGTACATACCTATACTATATTTTATGAGTGACAAGTGTCAAGTGACAGGAGCTATTCCGCTTCAATGCACTTCGAAAATTCGCTAAGTGTTTTATATAATGCAGTGGTGCTGGTAGCGCCTTTCATTAGAGAGTTTTAGTAGACCGTTTTCGGTTTCCCGCTCCGCTCTATGGAAAGCGGAGTCGCCATCGCGCATGCGCGACCCGCTCTGGGATTTGAGCGTGGAGCGTCAGCTCCGCTATCGTCGCCATTTTGAGAAGTACGTTCCACTCTCAGTGAAGGTTCACTAGATGGTGCTTTTCTGGAAAGGTGGCTGCTCGCTATTTGAAATCATGCTTGGGAGCGCGCTTGACCCTTATGAACCTCGCTGCACTAAGAAGCTGCGCAGACTTTGTTTGAAAAGGCGTCTCCAGAAAACGTTTCACGGTAGTCAAGAACCTCTGGCTGCTTCGAGAAATCGCTGGCCGCAATCCTTTCACGGCCCCTGAACGGTGGGAACAGGTGCTGCCTTTTCTAAGCCAGCGGGCTCGATTTTTCTATGCGAGATGACGACGACGACGTTGAGAAGATGACACACCGGGCGACGGCGGTGTCTCAATCTGAGCCCTGGGCCTCGGTTCCTCGGAGGCGGCAGCTTCTACTTCGGCTGGACTACCTCCTTGGAGCATGATTCTTTGACCCCAGTGGACCCCAGTGAGCAATAGCGCCATTATGTTCCTGGTGCTCCTTCATGCACTGATCGAACGGCGTGCAAGATCCTCATAGCTCGCTGCTCACCCGCCCAACCCGCCTCCACGAAGTCTGGACTTCTGCGAATCGGACTGCCACCCTCCCCAATACCAACAAGCCATGTCGTCGTCATCTTGCACGTATATACTCATCACATTACCATGTTCCCTAGACGCGGCACCGCGGGCCTCGGTGGTACGGGCTGCTGCTTTCCGCGGTGCCGCAGCTCTCCAGAGCCAAAAATTAAAGGTTAAAGACCAAAGACTAAAGCAGTCGGCAAACGGACAGATATTTTGTTTGGTTACTTCAGGCAGCAAGACAGTGAAAATTAGCGAAAGCGAGTGCTCCATTTATATCTCTACTTTTTTTTTCCCCAATGAAATGAGTCTTTTCTTCTTCGTATGCTTCGGTTTGTGATATGGTGCCTTGGTGTTTATGTACACTGCGCGACACTGTTAGCTATCAAAGAAATAAACTGCAAATAAAAGCGATTTTTTTCGTGTTCGTATAAACAGTGGAGCGCAGTGTATGTATCTGCCTTGGGGGGTGACATGAAACCATTTTGCTGCACTATACACTTCTTTTTATTTCTTTTGTGTGTTTATGAAAGTGCGTTTTTCAGCTTAAGCTCCTGCCCAGTTTCTGCCTCACTTGTGCTACGGTTTTTTCTTGCAATAGAGGGCCACGCAACATAGTCTACTCTTACAATGCTGAATTCAACAGTCTCACTGTAATTTGGTTAGATGCAATATTCACACGCACATCTGAGAAGTAAAATGGAAGTCGTTAGTAAACGTTTTTTATTAAAATATTTCTAGATGCCTTTCAGCCCAGTTGGCCAGGTATTTCGCTCAGTACAAAAGCTTGAACATGATTTACTGTGATAATTTTATGCATTCTAATATTAAACAAACAAAAAAATGCCCATGGTCTTTGTAGGTTTCGTCCAGCCGTCCAATTATGCCGTCTGCGCACATCACTGCCTGGTGCTTCACGACGAGCACCCTCTTGTGGTCTTCTTCTAATTTTTTTGATGGACGGCATATGGGCATGCTGTGCGGTCAACAAAACCCTTGTCCTTGACGTTCCCTTGTCCTTGACGGCCTAATAAAAACGACAAAGAAAAACACTCTTACAACACAGCAGTACTTAAACACTACCAAAACATGTGATATGGGACTTGTTACTCCTCTAAGATAAAGCGTATTTCCATTGTAGGTTTGTAAAAAACTGGGTATCGTAAATTAATATATATATATATAGTTGTTTCTTAATTCTGCTAAGGTTTGAGGCCGTCAAACTGCATGCGAGGCCCGCTACGCCGGAATTCAAAACGAAACTTCTGAAAACTGTTCTAATCTACCACTATTGCTTAGAAGTCCAGGGTTGTGTTTGCTAAATTTTGAATTGTTTATGCCTGTCTGGTTTTCACCAGACAAAAAAGTGACGTGGAATATTCTTTCGACCGTTATTGGTAACTCTTTTCAAAACACCACCGGGTAACATATTCGGCCGCCACATTTTGGGCATCGCTTTTAGTGCGAGACTTGTGACTAGAACCCATTTCATATTCAGTATTGACGCAGCATTCGTGTCTAATACATTTAGACTCGCATCCGCGACAAACAATGACGTAGCTCTCTTGCTCCCTAGACACTTGACCAAAATAAGGCGGCCTCGAAGACTAGCGGCACCATGGGTTGCACTTTTAAAAAGGCTGCATTCAAGTTTCTATTATTTTCTAAATCTACCAAGGAAATCCAACGCAAACATTTCTCGAGGAAAGTTAAACAATTCAAAAGTTGCGAGCTAGTGTGAATAAATAAAGCTGAGAGGAATGGTTTCTTTGGTGCAGCTTGCGAGCGCTATGCTCGTGGTCAGCTTTCAGTGGCATTTTCGACAGGAGGGCGCATGCACAGATATAATCGTCGTTCAAGCACGCGCACCCGTACATCTGACTGCATTGCCATAGGACGTCCACAAAACGCGACGACTTTACCGACGCCGTGCTGGTTGCAAAGTGATACTCGTTCACTTCGTTTGATTATGCTGTTTTGTGTTACATAGAACTCAAATCGAATGGTTTACTTTTTACGCGCGGGGCGTACGCTTTACTTCTTGATTCGACCTCTTTCAAGCTGAGGTCACGGTCAAAAACATCGACGCGTATTGAGTAAGTGCAGCCATCTTGAGATCTAAGCGATCACGCTAAGGACGCTGAGGGCAGTCCGCTCTACAACTTGTGAAGCGGAGCGCACGCTCACTCCGCTAACTTTACGCTCCAACTCAGAGCGGGCCACGCATGCGCGGTGGGGACGATGCTTCTGGCAGAGCGTAAAGTAGAGCAAAGCGGGCTCATAAAAGTGGCCTACTAATACTCATAGATTACGAACGCGCTCGTCGTGACTTCTCCTGACACTGCCCATGTACACCTTTGGCGTATAGAAAAAAGTAACTTTTCACCAGACAGAGCAGCTGTGCTAGAAACAATGGAAACGCGAAATTTACACAAACCATGCAGGGTCTCACCTGTGAGCACAGCTCTAGTTTCGCCAGGGTCAAACACCTATGTTTGTTCATGTCAGCGAGCAGGTGGCCGAACCTCTCGTTGATGTGACCCACGATGAGGTTCACAGAACTGAAGAGCACCGACAAGTTCCGTCCAAACGCTCATTCAAGTACGAACAGACGGTTGGGATAGGCCAGTCGAGGAAGAACCATGCAAAGCGTCTCGCCAGATTGGCAACACCCTGCGCCGATCTGTCGGGTGCTGGTATTTGGAGGCCCGCATGCAGAACAGCCAGGTCCTTCTTTAAGTGGGATAGCTTCCTAAAGGGTTTCTTTTCTACGTTGGAAATATCCAGCAAACCGCGTTCGGAAAGGAAGCTTCGGCGCTTGATGGCACGAGGGATACGAATCATAGATTCGATGTCTCGCCAGCTTAATCTCGTTAGTAGAAGTCTCCTTCCTTGAGAACAGCGGGGATTCATCGTGCAGTTGCCTTGCTAGCCTTGAGCAACACTGTACTTGTACTACGCAAAAGGATGTACTCCCAATGCGCAAACTTCGTCCTTTTCTCTTATTTTTCTACTTCGAATAAGTAAATCTGTTTCAGTTTTAATTCGAGTGGAGCAGAAGCTACCAGAGCGAGTGCCGGCCTTTCAGCGTCCTTGATAAGCACGCGCGCTCGTGCATTGCAAGTACCGTTTAGCGCAACATGCTCATGCTTATAACTTCGGCCTCACTAGCACACAAGGTGGAACGATTATATTTATATTTTATAGCTTAATATTTCTTCAGGTGTGTGCCTACTCTTTTGTGCTCAATATTGTCGCCTTCGTTTTTACTACCTCTACAATCACGCTACCTTTTACTCTCTTGGTGTTAACGCTTAGGTTTTTTTGTCTTACTAGTACTATAAACGTCCACTTGTGGGGCTACGCAAGCAAATTTTTCGAACCCGCTCAAAACGCTCTTGCGCTGAAGAAAAACGCTCTACTAAAACGCGTTTTCGGACCTCCGCTTTCCATTCCGGCGAAGCGGGCCGCGCATGCGCAGTTTGGCACCCTCAGAGCGGAGCGGAAGATGAAAACGGTATACTAAAACTCTCTATTATTTTGTGTCTCTAAGGAAACAAAGTAAGTTTAATGCAATAATAATCTGCGTTGTGATTTAACGGCTTTAGAGAGTACGACGTAAGATAATGCACCACGCATTATCTTAGCTATCGTCCCTCTTGTTCGCTTTTAAGGGAACAGACGCTCGTACATATCTAAAAATAACTAACAAGTTCATCAAAAAGCACGCACCTGCAGTTCAATAAGGGGGAGTGGAGATCCATCGCCCATCACGAGTCCAATGATTGCCAGGGTCGGGTGCTCCAAGCCGGGAGGGAAGACGTGCTTATAAAGTGGTACCTGCTTGTCCACGGCCGGCATCACGTCCTCGGAGAGCATGGGGAACTGGATCTTGTAACCCGTGGCCAGAATGACGGCGTCTAACTTTGTCACCTGTGCACGTGTGTTTATGATTCTCTTAAAGAGCTCACCCCACTAAGCTCATGGCACCTGCATCTACTGAGTGCTAATTGAAATAATAAAATGTAGACGGTCATTTGCCTCACTGACTTGTATTTCTGCTTATTTTATTAAAGGATAGTTTATCAAAACTTTCATTTAACCATTTTGTTAAGTAGTACAATGCAAAAACCTTTGTGTTTCTAATCTGCATAGTATCCGAGAATGCTGCAAAAAGAAACATGTTTTCAACAGATTAATTCATATATTTTATTAGCACAATCATCAGAAAATATCTAACCACTACCTAAATTTGTTTAGTCAGACCAGAAATGGCACGCTTTTAATTTGCTATTATATACTTTTTCTCTCGACGCCATCTACCGACTGCAATACACAGACTTAGTTTGCTACGACAAATAATATTTGCCCCCAGATACTCTCTCGGACAAATTATGGTCTATGTTCCTTCATAAGAATCAAATATTCAAAATTATTTACACCATTCTTCAATGGCCCACCGGTACAAGGCTGCCTCTGCTTTGATGCTGTTCGGAGGGAACGTTCAATGCGCGTCAGTGTCAGTTTGAACCTTACCTCCTTGTCATTCTCGAAGACAATGCCGTCCTCCGCAAACTCGACCACGTTTCGCTTGAGGATGACGATGCCACTCAAGATCAATGATGGCAACACGTCGCTCATGCTAATACGCTGGCTGTTGACGCAGTCCTTAGGTCGGAGCCCATAGGCCTCGTGGCTGAAGAAGTTATTGAACCGAGATTCCGGCTTTTCAAGGCTCATCCATCTAGGCACCAGGCGTTTCTTCAAGTCCATCGCTCTTGTGGATAAAGCTGCGTCATTCGGCATGCCGTTTGGCCCAAGCCTCTTGGACATCCAAACTCCCCCTCTTGATGACAGGTAGACCTGCGGCAGAAGTAAAGGGTTTCTGAAACAATGACCAACAGGCGCTGTTTATGGGTATTACGCTAAATCGCTAGGTTTTTTTCCGCATTCGTTAAAACGCTCAGGAACTCACATGGCGAAGAACGTTCGCCATGTTTACGTTAAATAGTGATGCAGATTCTTTCACCTCTGATTTATAGTCTCCTCCCCTAATACGCCCAAACACATCCCCATGCTGAGTCAAACACTCCACGCAGTCGCACTCTTTTCAGAAGGAGAGAAAAGGTATAAGAGTCGATATAAAGACCGAAGCACGCCTACATCAGTTATCAAAAATATCCTATAAAAAAAGTAAACAAATATTTTACATATCCCCATCCCCGGGGTCCCTCCCAGGAAGTTTTAATTACTTCCCCGTTGCGGGTTGAAGTTCAGCTAATTGGTTTATAGTTGTAAATGAGGAAAGATAAATTTTGCCATTACACAAAGGAAACGTATAAGAAAGACGCAGAAGACACTTTTGTCTACTTCTTTCCTTCGTGTTTCGTGATACTTCTGCCGCCCACATTAAAACAACGCGGGTTGTTTTACAATGAGTGACGTGGGCGTTCGCTTTTCAGTAAACGGCGAAGAGCTCCTTTAGTATAGGCAACCTGCAATGCTGTTTGGTTTGGCGCCATCTAGCGACTGAAACAAGAAATATTGGGTACCCCTGGGAGTGGCGGCTGCATTGTTCAAACGTGAGCTTTTACTCTGGTGGCGCCGCTTAGCCTAGTGTCTGAAGCAAGAAATTCTGGGTATCCCAGGAAGCCGTGATCGCGTAACGTGACAGTAGAGCACATGCTACGGCCCTGGTGGGCCAATCGGAACGTGACTGCCTATCGCCGGAGCGCGCCTCAACTCTATTACAACGCTTCTCTCTCTCTCTCCGGAGAAGTATCAGGCTTTTCGCCGCGTCATACTCCAGTATGTGTGCGTTGCGCTCGTATACACCGCGCATTTTAAAGCCTTCGGCACGCAATGTGGGGCTTATCGTTTACTCTTTGCCAAGTTACAACGAGGCAGGGTATAACCGTTCGCTCTCACCATGCTGGCGTCGCCTGGCCGTTGCCGGTTGGCTATACAGTGAAAAGCTGCAATGAGTTTTGTGACAGCCTAGCAGAGGGCTGACTTTGACGATCAAAAGAAAGGTTTTGTATGACGCAGGTTTTGTGTATAGCCAAGTACTTTGTTGGAAAGAGTTCTAAGGCAAGGGCCCTATTGAAAATCGCTCTGATGGGACTTCAGGAATTTTTTAAAGGGTGTGAAAGGGACTTCAGGAATTTCTGAGATGTTTGACGGGGGCACCGATATTTCCTGGTGGGTTCACTGGCCCCGTCAGAGGCTCTCCTGAAATGTCTAAAGTCCCCTTTACGATGCGTTGAAATGTCTGAAAGCCTGTCAAGAACTTTTCTAATGGGGTCGGGAAAACCTTCAGGCCTCTTGATATGTCTGTGTGGGCAACGGCCCAGGTGAAAAAAACACATTTCGCAGAATTAATGAACATAGCTGCTTATTGTACGCTACGGGGGAAAAAATAAGTATTTGGAGAATGCCGATCGTGTGTGAGTACGGTCAGCTTTTTATTACTGCTCTTCTATCAAATACGAGTGGGCTCCTGGACCGGTCTGTCACTGCCGGGGTGTTCGGTCGCGAAAGAGCTACTGAGGGCGACCGCCCATGTGGAGAATTGACGAGCCGCGGGCCGAGTGGTGTTGGCCGAGCGGCGTTTTGAGGCGAACGCAATCCTGTCCGCCCGAGGCGAAATACGTGCAACCATGTATAAAAAAAAAAAAAAAAAAAAAAAAAGAACAAGCCGAGAGCAGTGCGCGCTTTCCAGGAACAGGGACGCACGCGGGAGCGACTCGTTCCGGGAACCGGTCTTCCACGGGGGACTGTCCCCAAAAAGCAATCGCCTCTCTCCGCCCGGCGATGGGGAGAGGGTGCAGGGCTGCCAGGCCAGCGGTCGGGGGGAGGAGGGTGGTGTGTGCAAGCGGGGGAGGCCATAGCCATTTTCTCTCTGCTCGTGTGCGGTTCCGGTTATCCCACGAGCCTGGATGTTTGGAGCGGACCAATTTCCTCCAGGAAGGTGAGCATGCATGGTTTTGAGGGCTCGCCCCTTGGTCTGTTTTGATCCGTGCAGTTTCTTTCTTGGTACCGCAGGTGAACCATAGTTCGGCGCAGGCCGCCTTCAGCACCGCTCGAGCGCCTTTGTGTTCAGCGCATTCAAGGAGATGGTGGCCGGTGTCGGCTTACTCGCTGCAAAGCCTGGCAGTCGGGGTCAGCGTCCCACCGCATGTTGTGCCTGCGCAACGGGATTATGGCACTGTGGGTGTTGAGACAGTGGATGACGGCCGCTGTCCGGACTTGTTCCTTGCGCCTCTTCGTCCGTCCGACTTCAGACCAGCGAGCGAAAAATACGCCGAAGACTCCGGCGCGATGTCATCATGGACGAAACCGTGACTGTGCTCGGGATTTCTCAACGGCGGCGGGTGCTGCTTACGAGTTTGTGGTTTTCGCTAAACGTGCTTACTGAGACTGTGTATGTGTCCGTGAGGTGCACCTGCTCGGTTTTATTAGCTGAACTACCGTACATCAGGAATATACCCAGCGGCATTGTGAGTACTTTGAAAGGTATTTTTCTTTGTGATAAGGATGTCAGTTGTCCCTGTTTGATGTGATCCCTTTCGTCTACAGCTCCTTGTGCCGGGTTTGAACAAGCGTTGCTTTTTGAGTTATAATATGCATGTAAAACTAAATGTCGGCAATAAATTTTCAGTGTTTTGACCTGCATTTTTGTCTATGGTTCACAGTCATTTGGGCGTCTAAAGGGTTGATGGGCTAAAGGGCCTGACGGGTTAAAGGGCTGTGGGGCTAAAGGGTTTTTCTATGGGGTATCCTTGAAGGGTTTTTCTGTGGGGTATTTTTGAAGGGCTTTGAAGGCCTGTGAGGTCCCATAATCCTTCAAGGCTGACGGGCCCTTTAGAAATATTTTCAATAGGGGGAGGACAAATCTAAGTCAAGATTATCCGTTGCTCGTGCACCACGTAGGCCAGGACACAATACTTGTAGCTTGGCGAGACTGGGCGCGAGGCCAGGGCTCACAGACAAAAAAAACGGTAATCCAGCATGCTACGTCTTTGGACGAAAACATATTATCATGTGAGTAGCGCGTACTCTTGTAGTATTCACTGCGTTTTGTTGACGATTCTGAATGGGCGTCGCCTTTACTGACTATGCAATATCTCACTGGGATTTTGCCTAAACAGCGCTAGCAGCAATGGACCTGGTACCCCCCCCCCCCCCTTCCTTCTTTCTTCACCGAAATTCCTTGGTCACCGTAACCCTGTAATGCCTATGAATTCAATAATGAATCCCTTGGGCATAAAAATGAAATTGTGCGACCTGACCGATATCAGCAAGGCGAAGTTAAGATGGTAGCATGAAACATTTCATCATTTTGCGAAAGTGAGCCAGAATAAAGCGGTTTGAAATTCGCCTGTACAAGAGGGCTCTGAATGCATCGGCCGCACACGGCTTAAAAAACGTTCGGGACTCAGTCACTGAAGAACAAAAAATCCAGAATTTTTTTTCTTGATGTCCTTTAATTCAGAATTCTCTCGTGCCCTTCTGTCGCTCTGGAAGTTAGAAAGCTTAATCATCGTCCTGTCGTTCAAATTTTTTTTCTGTTACGGGAGTCGGCAGCACTCTCTACACCAGTTGGCTATGGCAAGGCGAAAAGAACGCAAGCGCTAGGCGATTTGTTCATGTAATCTGCACAACATTCGAGGGGGGATCGACACTTTTTAGATACATTATGCCGAAAATTAGTGCCGCTAAATTTGCCATTGCGTAATTTATAGCTAAATGTGCCGCTGAATGTTCAGTGCTTTCTGTTTTTGTTTGTTTCTTTTACAAGTGGAATATGAATTAAAAGTCTAAGTTCGAATCAAATCAAAAGGTGCAAAATAGTGGCCAGAAGGTTAACGTCAAATTAAATATCAATTACAAAAATAGGTACTATCAATAAAAGAAAACTAAACAAAATGCACAGTCAAGATTACAGCACCTGTCTGCTTATACCTCAAAGACCGCGTGCAGCCGAATTCCGGTGAAGTATTAAGAGTTACCGCATAAATCAGCTTGGTGCCGTACCTATAGAGTAATATTGCCGCGAGCGAAGCTGACTAAGTAGGCAGCGCGCTCGTGGCCTAACAATTATCGCGCGTGCATCCACGCAGAAAGCCAGGGTTCGATTTTAGCAGCGGACTGTCCTTGCATTTACTCTTTCAACTTGCCCGTCTCGTAAGTTCGAGAACATTCTCGTCTGATCCAGTTACGAAAGTTCTACGCTGACCGATCCAGAAATCCACCAGGGTACACAAGGGACTCCGCAGGGCGAGCGGAGTCAGTTTCGCCCCAGCGTTGACTGAGCTGTCACGCCGACTTGGACGCCCGCGACGCTCTACTTTCCTCTGTTCCTTTTTTTTTACTTTCGGGCACAAGTTCGCCCTCATTAAACGTTTAGTTTCTTCAGTTATTATCGCCTCATCAATTGTCATTCGTAACATTTTGGTGGAGGTGCGGGGTACCGCATGCCCGTGCCGCGCAGCCCTCCGAGTTCGCGCAGTACAAGTCCGAACCCAAGCTCCCGAGGACCCAACGAAGACCAGATCGAGACCCGATCAAGTCGCCGCACCCAAGGTCAAACCAAAGATTTTTCCGAGGCGACGAAAATCGAGCGTGCCCTGCAAGCCCGAGCCAGTCACTACCATTGACCAGCCGGCCTCGCTGCCCTCACACCGTCTAGGTGTGACCTTGGCACCGGTATTCAGGCATTCGCGACGTCATTCGATACGTTGTCCGGGAAGAGCTCAGAAAGCTGTTGGCTTCTGCCAACTATTCGGCTTCGCTGTCGATAGCCGAAGTGGTGCGCGAAGAAGTTCAGCTGGCCATATTACGGGAGGCTCCTGCCAGCGTAG